GCCTCCCAAACTGCTGGGGTTAGAGCAAACCACCACGCATGGCCCATACACTCAATTTTGACAATAAACATTGATCTTTTAAACTGCTGTCTTAAAAAGGCAAAGAGAATGCATTTAAAAATAGAAGTTAGCTACGTGCTACATATAAAAGATAAACCTAAAATCCCGCATCACAAAGGTTAAAAATACAGAGAAATGTAGTTATTCCACAAAAAGAACAAGCAAAAGAAAACAAAGGTAACTATGTTGATAGCAGTTAAAAACTTCAGGCCGGGCATGGTGGCTCACACCTGTAATCCCAGCACTTTGGGAGGCTGAGGCGGGCAGATCACGAGGTCAGGAGTTCAAGACTGGCCTGGCCAACATGGTGAAACCCTGTTGCTACTAAAAATACAAAAATTAGCCTGGAGTGGTGGCAGGCACCTGTAATCCCAGCTACTCGGGAGGCTGAGGCAGGAGAATCGTTTGAACCCAGAGGCAGAGGTTGCAGTAAGCTGAGATCACTTCATTGCACTCCAGCCTGAGTGACAGGGCGAGACTCCGTCTCAAAACAAAACAAAACAAAATGAATTCAAGGCAAAGAAACATCAACCAGCATAAAGAATATCACTTCATGTGAATAAATGCTATAATCTGTAATGAAACATGATGCTTATTAACCTTTGTTAATAAAGTTGTAAAATAACATCAAAATAAAGAGAAGTTTGATCATAATAGGCAACTAATATATCACTATTATAATGACATATCAAGAATTTATATGTATATACACCCAGAAATTTTGTTCTCTATAAGAAACTCTGGGCCGGGCACAGTGGCTCCTGCCTATAATCCCAGCACTTTGGGAGGCTGAAGTGGGTGGATCACCTGAGGTCAGGAGTTTGAGACCAGCCTGGCCAATGCGATGAAACCCTGTCTCTACTAAAAAATACAAAAATTAGCCCGGTGTTGTGGTACGTGCCTGTAGTCCCAGCTACTTGGGAGGCTGAGGCAGGAAAATCGTTTGAACCCAGGAGGCGGAGGCTACAGTGAACTGAGATAGTACCACTGCACTCCAGCCTGGGTGACAGAGCAAGATTCCATCTCAAAAAAAATAAAAATAAAAAATAAAAGAAGCTCTGTTTTAAGTATCCATGGATGACTTTTGGAAATTAATTATAAACTAGTATACCAAGAAATCTCAATAAATTCCAAAAAGTAGAAATAATTCAGTCCACATTTCTTGACCAGAGTGCCTAATTAAAAGCAGAAGCTCAACTGAAGAAACTTCAACTACTTAGAACCAAAAATTTTGCTCTAAATAATACTGGGTGAAGGCCAGGCATGGTGGCTCCCGCCTGTAATCCCAGCACTTTGGGAGGCCAAGGCGGGTGGATCACTTGAGGTCAAGAGTTTGAGACCAGCCTGGCCAACATGATGAAACTTCGTCTCTACTAAAATTCAAAAATTAGCGGGGTGTGGTGGTACATGCCTGTAATCCCAGTTACTTGGGAGGCTGAGGCAGGAGACCTGCTTGAGCCCGCAAGGCAGAGGTTGCAGTGAGCTGAGGACATGCTGCTGCATTCCAGCCTGGGCTATAGAGGAAGACTCTGTCTCAAAAAAAAACAAAACAAAATGAATTCAAGGCAAAGAAACATCAACCAGCATAAAGAATATCACTTCATGTGAATAAATGCTATAATCTGTAATGAAACATGATGCTTATTAACCTTTGTTAATAAAGTTGTAAAATAACATCAAAATAAAGAGAAGTTTGATCATAATAGGCAACTAATATATCACTATTATAATGACATATCAAGAATTTATATGTATATACACCCAGAAATTTTGTTCTCTATAAGAAACTCTGGGCCGGGCACAGTGGCTCCTGCCTATAATCCCAGCACTTTGGGAGGCTGAAGTGGGTGGATCACCTGAGGTCAGGAGTTTGAGACCAGCCTGGCCAATGCGATGAAACCCTGTCTCTACTAAAAAATACAAAAATTAGCCCGGTGTTGTGGTACGTGCCTGTAGTCCCAGCTACTTGGGAGGCTGAGGCAGGAAAATCGCTTGAACCCAGGAGGCGGAGGCTACAGTGAACTGAGATAGTACCACTGCACTCCAGCCTGGGTGACAGAGCAAGATTCCATCTCAAAAAAAATAAAAATAAAAAATAAAAGAAGCTCTGTTTTAAGTATCCATGGATGACTTTTGGAAATTAATAAATGTAGTTATTCCACAAAAAGAACAAGCAAAAGAAAACAAAGGTAACTATGTTGATAGCAGTTAAAAACTTCAGGCCGGGCATGGTGGCTCACACCTGTAATCCCAGCACTTTGGGAGGCTGAGGCGGGTGGATCACCTGAGGTCAGGAGTTTGAGACCAGCCTGGCCAATGCGATGAAACCCTGTCTCTACTAAAAAATAAAGAGAATGAATTTAAAAATAGAAGTTAGCTACGTGCTACATATAAAAGATAAACCTAAAATCCCGCATCACAAAGGTTAAAAATACAGAGAAATGTAGTTATTCCACAAAAAGAACAAGCAAAAGAAAACAAAGGTAACTATGTTGATAGCAGTTAAAAACTTCAGGCCGGGCATGGTGGCTCACACCTGTAATCCCAGCACTTTGGGAGGCTGAGGTAGGTGGATCATGAGGTCAGGAGTTCAAGACCAGCCTGACCAATATAGTGAAACCCCGTCTCTACTAAAAATACAAAAAAATTAGCCAGCCATGGTGGTGGGCGCCTGTAATCCCAGCTACTCGGGAGGCTGAGGCAGGAGAATCTCTTTGAACCTGGGAGGCAGAGGTTGCAGTGAGCCAAGATTGTGCCACTATACTCCAGTCTGGGCGACAGAGCAAGACTCCATCTCAAAAAGAATAAATAAATAGAAAGAATTTTAGATATGTAAGAAAGAATCACACATCACTTAATAAAAATTTTATTCAACAAATGATGCTGAAATAATTGGTTACTTATTTAACAACATTTAAAATGTAAAACTAGGCTGGGCGCAGTGGCTCATGCCTGTAATTACAGCACGTTGGGAGGCTGAGGAGGGCGGATCACCTGAGGTCAGGAGTTTGAGGCCAGCCTGACCAACATAGAGAAACCCCTCTCTACTAAAAATACAAAATTAGCCGCGTATGGTGGCACGTGCCTGTAATCCTAGCTACTTGGGAGGCTGAGGCAGGAGAATCGCTTGAACCCGGGAGGCAAATGTTGTGGTGAGCTGAGATCGCGCCATTGCACTCCAGCCTGGGCAACAAGAGCAAAACTCCGTCTCAAAAAAAAAGAAGTAAAACTATGCTTAGCTTATATACTGCAAAAAACTAGGCCTTGGGCCACATGGGTTGTAGTTTGCTGACCCCTGATTTAGATCATCGCTTCATTCATCTACCAAGATTAATTACAGATTGATTATATATTTAAGTAAAAATACATGAACACAGAAAAATAAGCAAATGTATATTAAATGCCTGACAGGAGGAAGACTCTCTATGTTTAAGAGCGTCAGAAGAAATTTCAAAGGGAAAGCTTTATAGATTTGACTAAAAAACTGTGGCAGCTTAATTAGTGGGATAAATAGAAAATATGGTGCCACTCCTTAAGCTGGCACATTTGCAGAAAATGGTTAGAGTCAGAAGATAAAGAAAATTATCACCCAGAATTTTCTGTGTAAGCTTTTCTAAATGTCTCATCACTGTTATTTTTCAAAGGAACTTTAAAAAGCTATGTTCTCAAAAATAGTTCATTCTTTCACAATAGTTTGAGAAATGTTTTCCCAAAGTCAAATTTGAATCTCTCCTAGTGTGATCATATACCCTTCCTGACTGGCCTTATTATAATGAAAATAAAGAATAATTGGGCCAGGCATAGGCGGCTCATGCCAGCACTTTGGGAGGCCCAAGTGGGCAGATCACTTGAGCCCAGGAGTTTCAGACCAGCCTGGGCAACATGGTGAAACCCCATCTCTACAGAAAAATACAAAAACTAGATGGGCATGGTGGCATGCTCCTGTAGTCCCAGCTACTCAGGAGGCTGAGGTTGGAGAATTGTTTGAACCCAGGAGACTGAGGCTGCCGTGAGCCATGATTGTGCCACTGCACTGCAGCCTGGGTGACAGAGTAAGACCCTGTTTGAAAACAAACTAAAAAGAAAAATTTTTGATGAATTTGAATATTCTGTCAACTTTTTAGTTATTCTGTCCCTTCTCCTCCAAAAAAGAGAAGCAATATTCATGTCCAATGTTGTCAACACTCCATAAACAGTAAAAAACAACCAGTGTCAAGCTCCTTGGAGGTGGTGGGAATCTCAACAGGTAGCCAGAGCATGGGAACAGGGATCTGGGACAAATGTGTTCAAAGTCTGGTAATCAGGATGTTGGCATTCTATTATAAAGAGGTCCGCTGGGTGCGGTGGCTCACGCCTGTAATTCCAGCACTTTGGGAGGCCCAGGCGGGTGGATCACCTGAAGTCAGGAGTTTGAGACCAGCCTGACCAACATGGAGAAACCCCGCCTCTACTAAAAATACAAAAATGAGCCAGGCGTGGGGGGCACCTGTAATCCCAACTACTTGGGAGGCTGAGGCAGCAGAATTGCTTGAACCCAGGAGGCGGAGGTTGCCATGAGCTGAGATCATGCCACTGCACTCCAGCCTGGGCGACAGAGCAAGACTCTGTCTCAAAAAAAAAAAAAAAGGTCCCAGACACCAGACTGGAATGTAAGAGTCAGAGAGCTCAAATGCCCAGGATAGGGGACCAGAAAGAAACAGGCAAGGTGTAACTCAAGCTACTGGGCACACTGCTGTAAGAGTGACAAAAATGCTAGTCAAGGCAGACCAGTTTAGGCACTAGCTTAGGGACTTGAAAGCAGCACTCCCCTTATAAGAGTAGCAGTGCCACAGTGGTGGGGTGTTGATAAAGGGAGCACTGCCTTTGTAGAATGCTAGAGCAAGCCAGAGACTTTGGGAGCATAATTATTTTCAGTGTCATACAAATAACACCAACATTACCTCGGCAGGAGTCGCATCGTCCTGTTGGTGATAGTTGTGTTAGACAGATTGAGATACAGGACCCCCGGGCAGCCCTCAGAAATGTGTCTCATTGATTCATCCTGCATGAAAAACAGAGGGGAGACGCTTATCAAATTATATCAGGCTTTGCAATTTCCCTATTATCTTTCTATTATCCCTCTTCCTGTTCCAGAAAAAAATACATGCAAGAGTTGCTTTCTTCATATTCTTTATCGGCTATTAGGTTGAAATGAAATTAAATAGAAGCCAATGCTTTTGCTCAAAGCATCATTACTCCCTCCTTTTCCCTTTCCTTGGAAATCAAGTCTCATTCCATCACAATGACACTTCATCAAAATGTGAACCCATGCAAGTTCAACTCTGTCACAAGAAATTTGAGCTCAAATGTCAAAGTGTCAAACACTTCTGACTCTTCCTATGCAGGAAAGCAATTAAAAACTCATCCATTTTAAACTTATTAAAATTATTCTGAAAGACAGGAATAGTAAACACTCTCAACAGTGGAACTTCAGTAAGAGTCCATATTTATACACATATACATTTAGACATAGATGTGTGTGCGTGTAATTAAGCTTCTGTGGTTCTGTTAATTAAATATTTTAAATAGCTGAACAGATTTTCAACAGATTTATGGTAAGTCTGAGACAGCTAAAATAAAATATAGGCTACATACCAGTTGGGCAGGAGATTCAATGTTGGGGTTAGGGTGGGGGAGGATCTCAAAGATTCAAGCACCCTTCCCTCAGAAAGCTGAAAACTGAAGTAAGAGAGTAAGTACTGTGACCATGAAATAAGAGAGAGAGAAAAACAGAGGTTTCAAACACAGATCCTACAATGAAATTTACAAGACCAGATGAATTTCAAGCATTGATTGCAACAAGCTGCTTTTTGTACAGGTAACACTATAGAAAATACAATGAGTAGCAACAGGTTTCTATTTAATGATTGATGAATCTCCCCAGGAACATCAACAGGGCACCCAGTTTAAGTATTAGTGGTGTATGCAATGTTTGACACTACCTCAGTTCCGAAAAGAATAGACTGTTGCATCTATCTATCTGGAAGAGATTTAAATCATCACTAGGCTAGAAGATGTGGTTCTGAGAAGAATTCTGTATCAGAAATATGGCCACTCCTAACACCACTAAAGATAGTAAAGGTTTATTTTCAGCAGGATCATTGAGGTTTAACATTCCATTCATTACTATTTCCAGTAGTCATGGATTTTTAAAATAATAAAATCCTGCAGGTCAGAGCATCCATCACACTCAGATAGGAATTGGTTGATTTACAGGGGCAGCAAACCATGCCTTAAAGAGAACACAAGATTCTATTTGAAAGCTGTAAATCTATGTGATTCTGCTATAGGAAAGGTTCTATGCACCCATGCTGCATGAGAGGCCAGTGCAGAGCTTTTGATAAACACTAGTCTTAACTATAGTATTCAAGCTGTCAGCATTTTTTCTAGATGCCTCATCACCAAAATGAAGGATTTGAATAGGTGTGGATACACAAAATGTGTACAGTACAATTTTTTCCAAAAAGAATCGAGAGAATAACCATAATGTGTGGCACTGTATTTTAATACAAAGAAAATCTGTCTTTGGAAACGTTCGGCATGCCAATCAAGTATCAAAGTGATTATACACATGTTGAAAGACCTTGGCAAAATGCAAATGAGATGAGGCAAGGAGAGGAGAAAGAGCTGGCTTAAACACCCTCAGAGAGGCAGCCCCAAAGAAGATGAAAATGTGGGGATCAGGAAGAGGAAGATGGAGTAGCTTTATGTACCACAAAGAAATCTGACTTTCTGTTTGAGATGAGGAGGCAATCCATTCTCTACATTTTCCTGTCTAAAGAAGCTTGGACATCCAAACAAAATTAGACCACTCCCATTCTCAGACTGAGATGAGGAGGTAATGCATTCTCTACATTTTCCTGTCTGAAAAAGCTTGAACATCCAAACAAATTTAGACCACTCCCATTCTTAGTACTTAAAAGAACTCAGGATTTAATCCCCAAATGTTTGAACACACAAATGCAAAAACTGAGTACCTACATTGCAGAATGGCTTATGAATTTGTCCTCAATGTACTCAAATCCTTCTGAATGCAATATATTTCATAAGACAAGCTTAGAAATCAAAGCTCTTTGAATGAATGTTACCCAACTCCGTAAATGTAAGCCTGTGTCCCAGTCTACGTCTCAAAGGAAAAAACAATAGTAAAATGTAGCTGGATAAAATTATCGGCCCTGTATAATATTAGACTCCAAAATTGGACAAGACTTTGATGTTCACAAATTCAATGCAGATGGCATTGTTTTAACTTCCCTATTAGAGGGCCAAACTCAAAGAATCTGATATTTTACTCAAGTACAGAACTGAAGCTCCCTGAGGACAAGAACTGAAAAATGATTCATTTTTTAATTCCCTCCAACACCTAGCAGAACATATTTAACATAGTAGGTGCTAAAACATCCACAGAAAGAGTAAATCCATTTGACAAACAACTTCATTATAACCACAGGCAGACATCTGGAGAATGTAGTAGTCAAGATTTAAAATCTTTCTTCATGAAGGAGCCCACGTTCACTTTGCTAGTGGAAAAAGAGTGCAACCAGAGAAAGTAGAACATTTTTTCTCTGATATGATCTTTGACATGTCTGTCTATGCCTCCATTTCTTGTGGATGACCCTCAAGGGCACTTTTGAACATAAAGAAACAGCTTATTTATATTAAAGTACAAGCCGCTGAGAAGATGCTTAGTTTCTTTATGGGTGGTTCTTTATGTTCTGCTGGTCAGGGATTAAACAACTAATTTAAATGCTGAATCTGTGTATTGAGGCAAGGAGTGGAGGAGTTCTGAGGGTCTTAACATTTTTCTGTACACATTCTATTTGTGTATAATGCCTTCCATGTTTTGAAAAGATGTTTTACTGTGGAAATTAGGGGGATGGATTTCATGGGGAAAAATTACTAAAGGAGGATTTTCAAAGTGCTCAGTTCTAAAACAGGAGACATATATGTAAACGTAAGTGTTATACACAGTGTGAAGTATCTGTGTTGAAGTACTGAGACCATATGTAGCTCAGGAGAGAGAGAAATTAATTCTGTCAGCTGGGCACAGTGTCTCACGCCTGTAATCCCAGCACTTTGGGAGGCCGAGGCGGGTGGATCACTTGAGCTCAGGAGTTCGACACCAGCCTGGCCAACATGGTGAAACCCCATCTCTACAAAAAAAAAAAAAAATACAAAAATTAGCCAGGTGCAGTGGCACGTGCCTGTAATCCCATCTACTTGGGTGGCTGAGGCAGGAGAATCACTTGAACCTGGGAGGTGGTGGTTGTAGTGAGCCATGATGGCGCCACTGCACTCCAGCCTGGACTACAGAGCAAGACTCCATCTCAAGAAAATAATAATAATTAAATTATATTAGAAATTAACTGTCAAAAAGTGAATAGAACTGCATAGGGCTGGGGGTTGAGAGAAAATGAAGGGTGACTGTTAATGGGCATGAGTTCTTTTAGGGGTGAGGGAAATGTTCTGAAGTTGGTTGTGGTGATGGTCACACAACTCTGTAAAAATACAAAACCATGAAATTGTACACTTTAAGTGGGTAAATTTAATCTCAATATAAATATAAATTTATTATATCTCAATAAAGCTGCTTTTTAAAGGTCAATAAAAAAAGAGAATGGGAAGACTCAGTAGAGTTGAAGAGTGTGTTAAAGAATGAACAGGTGTTAGCCAGGTTGGGATAGGGGTGGTGGGGAAGGAAGGGTAGTCATTTAGGCAGATGGAAAAACACGTTCAAGGACACAATGAAATAGCATGACATGAACAGGGAACTTCCAAGTGGTTCAGTATTGAAACAGAGTAGAAATGTGAAAGAGAAAACTAGAAAGATGAGGCTGTAAAAGTGAGGCTGAGAGGTAGCAGGAAGGGGTCAATTCATGCAGTCTTTTCACCAGCGAGGAGGGCTTGGCCTTCATGATGGAGCTGGTGCCCCGTGACTGGCATTCCACAGCCAGGCGTTTCCTCCTATTACCTCCTGTCTCCTTAGGGACTTGCTCCGTGAGTTGCTTCAGCTGACTCTCCATCATCCTCTATAAACCTATTTCCATTTCCCTGTCCCTGTTTTCCTTCTACCACTCTCTAAGACACTTTTCTGGAAAGATCAGTTTATGCCTAATGCCTCACCTTCTCACCTCTTGTCCACTTCACAATTCATTGCAAGTAGATTTCTGCTCCAATATCCCAATGAAACTGTTGTAGCAAAAATTGGCAGTCCCTTCTGATTCTCAAATCTACAATGCATTGTTCAGTCCTTTTCTTACCTGTTCACTTTGGTTCTTTCTGAAACTCTTTACTCACTTTCATTGTGTGATACCTCTTCATTGTCAACCTACTTCTCTTACTATTCCTTCTGAATATCCTCTGTCTGCTCCTAAAAGTCAGCATTCCGTAAGGCTCAACTTTAAGTCTTCTCCTCTTCTCATACCTTCTAAATTGATCTTATTCACTCTTATGATGTTAATTATAACTTATACATAGATGTCAACCCAAGGTGGGATCTCAATTCTAGTCAATGTTGTCCATTGCCTACTTGGTATCTCCAGATGGTTGCATTCACTAAATATTATTGAATATGATATGCCAAAGTTTGTGCTGTTGTGCCATGACTACCACAAATAATAAGACACATCTCCTGCCCTTGGGGTCTCTTAGGCTAGTGGAAGAAGCAGAAACCCTACGGTTAAGGATACTTATCATAGGAACCTAGAGGAACAGCAGTGACCCCAGTCCTGGGAACCAGTGATGTCTTGGTAGAAGAGGTGGTAATAAGCCTTAAAGCCTGATAAAGAGGAAAGCACCACTTGGGGACAAAGGGAAAGGGCATTCTAAGCAAATGTACAACTGCAAGGAGCAACTTGGAGCATGCAGCAGAGGAAACTCAGTGGCTGTAGGCACTGCAAATTAGTGTGTACACAGAAACTGAAGCAAGTGAGGCTGGAAAGGGAGGCAGAGGCAAAACCACAGAGGGTCTTCAAGGTAGAGTAATATTAAGGGCATTGGCTTTATCCAGTTGTGTAGATGATGGGAGTATGTATAGCTGATGAATGATGAGAGTGAAGTAGTCATATCCACCTTTTACAAAGAGTATAAAGTGCTCACAGAATGGAAGACAGGTTGGGGACAGAGGGAAAGACTGGAGACAGGAACCAGGAAGAAGGCAACTAGGGATACATATTCATTTCCATCTTCTTTGGTACAGCTATTGATAGCCATGAAGATAAAATGAGCCTATCATGTCTACTGGGGCCCAATTTTTTTCTGTCTCATACACACATACCATTAAATATAAATACAGTTCACTTTGGGTAGTCATTGAAAAATTTCTACTTTCCAGAGGCTCCAACAATGAGCATACATCTACGTGATTAACATTAGCATTGTACAGATGGAGTAAAATTTCTTGTCAATGTTTAACATAGTTTGCTGTTTTCCACATTGAATCCCAAATAAGCACACAAGCATCTATTCTGCATATTGGCACTCCAATGTAGCAAGTCAATCTATATAAACAGCAGTAAAAATGGTTGCTTATACTCACTGTGAATGTTGGGCAGTCAGAGACATTCAGCTCTTGCAAGTTCCTACAGTGGCCTGAAGGAAATAAGTTATACATCACTAAACTACATATTGCAAATGTTTAAACAGAGTTTTTCTATCCTACATTGAATGCAGTGTATTCATTAGAAAACAAACAAAAACCTTGGCAAGTAACATGTTCTAAGTATATGGTTTCTTTTCCGAGAAAAATGACTTTTTTGGGCTTCAGAATTAAAATATATAGACATGTTTATTATTGTTTGAGGATTATAGGAGTAAGGAGAAAAGAGAAAAATATTACTGTGGGAAAAACACTATATACTCAGAGCTTTTAGCTTGAAAGCACTTGAAGAAAACCAATCTGATTTTTTGTGCCTGCTTTTTTATTTTTTTGTTTTCATTTAACATTTTATTATGAAAATTTTCAAACATATACAAAAGTGGAAAGAATTGTACAATAAATAATCTATATAGCCACTGCTTGGATTCTATTTTTTACTGTATTTGCTTTATCATATATCCACCCACTCATTCATCTCTCTATACATCCCTTAATCATCTTATTTTTGTATGCATTTCAAAGTAAGTTGCAGACACTAGTACACTTACCCCAAATACTTCAACATGTATATCATAAATAATTCAGCATATGTAATAATAAACAGAATAGTTGACATGATTTTGTTTAGGTCAGACTTATATAAAATTTATAATGAATTGTAAATAGACAAGTGGAAGGTCAGAAAGTCTAACTGACTAGCTCTGGGACCAGAGGCCAGTGCACAGCTTATAATCTCTCGGGGAAAATGAGACATGTATACAAACAGTTAGATGGTAAAGTGCTTCACAACCAGTGCCCTGCATCTCAGTGGACAGTAAGTAAAACTCCAAATCTGAGACAGAAGAGAAGCAGCTAGGGAGGCTACACAAACCAGTGACTGGGAGGAATGCTTGAAGCAAAGAAAAGGGAAGGCATTCTAGGTGGAGACCCCATGAAACAGGAAAACTCCAGGCAAGAGGGCGATTCTGGTGTTCAAACTGTCACAACGAATAGAAAACACATTTGCTGCTCATAACCACACAGCCCCACGCTAGTAACAACAGACATGTTAGTAGTTATAAATCCATTTTGAACATTTCTTCCTTTGCCAAGAATGGACTGCATCCTAAGTGATATATGCAAACCAGAAATACTTTCAGAATTTTAAAAAGTGAAAACAATTGTTAAAAATCTGCACATCCTGGAAGTCCTCAAAAATATTTAATAAGGAGAAAATAGATTTCCCAAGCAATATAAGTTTACAAAATAAATGTTCTTACAGAATACAGTAGTTATTCTGTTTGTTTGTTTCATTTTTTTGAGACAGGATCTCACTCTGTCACCCACACTAGAGTGCAAGTGGCACCATGTTGGCTCACTGCAGCCTCAACCTCCCAGGCTCAGGCGATCCTTCCACTTCAGCAACCCCCACTCCCATCCCCAAGTAGCTGACACTACAGGTGCATACCACCATGCCTGGCTAATTTTTGTATTTTTTGTAGAGACGGGGTTTCCCCATGCTGCTCAGACTGGTCTCCTGGGCTCAAGAGATCTGCCTGCCTCAGCCTCCCAAAGTGCTGGGATCGCAGGCATGAGCCACCGCACCCGGCCAGAATAGTTATTTGAGAGTAATTCATCAGTTCAACAAATACTTAACAAGGAAATATAGCAGTTAACAAAACAGACAAAAATATTTTCCCTTAAGGAGTTTACTTTCTAGTGGGGAGAGACTAACAGTAAACAAAAGAAGTTAAATACCATATCTACTTTGACAGATGGTGATAAGTGCTATGGAGAAGAAATAAAACAAGAAAAGGGATTGGGAGCACCCAACAAGTGGGAGGAAGTGTGATTTAAAATAGGGCTGAACAGGAAGTTTTCACTGAAAAGGTAACATTTGAGCCAAGACGTGCAGCAGATAACAAGGACAGTGCCATTTACTCCAAGCATCTCTGAAGCCCACACCCAACATGGTTGGTGACTGGGAGACAGAAAAGGATAGGAGAAAAAAAAAAAAGCTCAGGAAGACAACCATTCAAGTCCTACCCTTGTGTGTGCATCTCAAGGCTGTGTTCTTTTAAAAGAAGGAGAATTCTTTTAATTTCTTAAATCCGATGTGATGATGAACCACAGGCTTCAGTTTCAATCATGCTGAGTCCTAACATTTGTGACTACTTCCCCCGGGGTGGCCACTGTGAAGCATCTTTTGCGCATGAGCCTATTTTATCCTCCCAACAATATTAGGAGGTACCCTTGGTCCCGTTTTACAGATGCTGAAGATGACCTGGGTTGATATACTTAAGCAGGTAAGAGAGCCTTGATTCAAACTCAGGGCATAAACATTCAGCCTCTAACCCAGACAACTAAGAGGGGAAGAAGCTTTCTATGTCACTGTTCTGTGGAACTAGAAGGCCTTTGCCTTAAAAAGTCTGTTCTTATCTGTCAGTAATATAGTGCTTGCAATGGGCCTTAACTTTTAATATATATTTTTTTTCTCTTTCAACCTAGGGACTCCACATACCCCAGCTGGGTCTCATTGTTCCAGAACTGCATTAGTTAAGATTACCCAAACTTGGATTTCAAAGGAATACTTTCATTGTTCCGTCTGTAACACGAAGTAATTGGGGCCAGCTGGATGTCAGGATGCGTGTGGTTACCATTGTAATCTTGCTCTGCTTTTGCAAAGCTGCTGAGCTGCGCAAAGCAAGCTCAAGCACTGTGAGAAGCCGAGTGAATCATGGCCGGGCGGGTGGAGGCCGGAGAGGCTCCAACCCGGTCAAACGCTATGCACCAAGCCTCCCATGTGACGTGTACACATATCTCCATGAGAAATACTTAGATTGTCAAGAAAGAAAATTAGTTTATGTGCTGCCTGGTTGGCCTCAGGATTTGCTGCACATGCTGCTAGCAAGAAACAAGATCCGCATATTGAAGAACAACATGTTTTCCAAGTTTAAAAAGCTGAAAAGCCTGGATCTGCAGCAGAATGAGATCTCTAAAATTGAGAGTGAGGCGTTCTTTGGTTTAAACAAACTCACCACCCTCTTACTGCAGCACAACCAGATCAAAGTCTTGACGGAGGAAGTGTTCATTTATACACCTCTCTTGAGCTACCTGCGTCTTTATGACAACCCCTGGCACTGTACTTGTGAGATAGAAACGCTTATTTCAATGTTGCAGATTCCCAGGAACCGGAATTTGGGGAACTACGCCAAGTGTGAAAGTCCACAAGAACAAAAAAATAAAAAACTGCGGCAGATAAAATCTGAACAGTTGTGTAATGAAGAAGAAAAGGAACAATTGGACCCGAAACCCCAAGTGTCAGGGAGACCCCCAGTCATCAAGCCTGAGGTGGACTCGACTTTTTGCCACAATTACGTATTTCCCATACAAACACTGGACTGCAAAAGGAAAGGTTTGTACTTTTCTTACTTCTTCATTTTCATGAATAACTTGAAATGCTCTTTGAATCTTATAATCCTCCCTACACCCCACCATGTCTTGGAATTCTCGATGTCACTTCCACCAGAAACCTTTCCCCATTGGCAATGGAATTTACCCCAAGTTTTTTTGGGGTCCAAACTCAAGGCAGTTGGTAATTAAAGGACAATGACAAGAGGGAAGGAGGTATCCTCAGTAGGGCAGCCATTTGGGTTCTACTCATTTGCACATCGCAAGCTGTCACTGTAAGGAGTTCCTTTCATCTTAAATCCAATTTAACTTAGGTAGGTAAACCAAGGGGTATGAAAATAAGTACAAATGCCATCTATATAACCTGACTTACACTGATTAAAGTCAAAACATGGTGTGCATCTGTGAGAAGATAACCTCAAAGAGAAAACATCTGCAGAACAGGACTGTGAGAGCACTCTGAAACAGAGTGAAAGTGATGGCGCTTCTGTATTTCTTATCATTTAGTCCCAAGGTTTTAATAAATGCTCCTTTTTTTTTGAGATGGACTGTCGCTCTGTTGCCCAGGCTGGAGTGCAGTGGCACGATCTTGGCTCACTGCAACCTCCACCTCCCGGGTTCAGGCACTTCTCCTACCTCAGCCTCTCAAGTAGCTGATTTTAATAAATGCCTCTTAACGTCCTATATCTTAATTATTTCCAAATTACCCAGAATAAAACAATAAAAATTTAAAGAACTAAATTTAAAATATTTAACCTAACTATGAGACTAAGGAAATCTTTCTAGAATATTACCTACTTCCTGCAAATCATTACTGGGTTTTGCAACCGATGCAATCTTGTGCTAGTATTATGCAGGATTTGCACATGCAAGATAAAGTCATGAGCTAAGAAAACAGATGGGAGATTTCAGTAATGCTCTTGACATGTTAGTGAAGACTGATGTTCTCAAAGTGTGGTCTGGGAACTGCTAATCTACCCTACAATAACGAACCATATAACAATGTCTGTATGTTTCATTTCTGGCATGGTTTAATAACTTATTTGTAATATTAAATTAAAGCCAGATGTCATGAAGTGAGGTTCATATACAGCATGGTATCATTTCTTCCACTTATTTTGGGAAATTTTGCTATGTTTTGTTTCTTTAAGGGCAAGAGAAAGGGAAAGTTCAGAGAGGAGGTCCTGGCTCCTCCCAAGAGAATGTTAGGCAGGAATTTATTAACATTGTCAGGCAACCTGAACCAGAAGTAAATTTGTCCACTTACCAGCAAAGTCATGCTCAAGCCTTGCCCCACCGCCCCACTCCCCCGCCCCCCACCCCAACTGTAAAGATGGCACCTGGTTAGATCCCACAGCAGCCATGTGGCACAGGGAGGTTTGCATACCAAGACACCCTGTGAACGGTATATAATTCAGTCCCATAGGAGAGCAGTTACATACAGCGTCATAACCTGGGACATGCCATTCTAGGCTCTAGGTACCCACACACATGCTGTTTACAACTTCCAGGAAGACAGTAACATTCCCATTTACAGATGAGGAAAATGAGGCTCAGAGAGGTTCAGTCACTTGACCATGGGTCTCACAGGTAAGTAGCAAAG